AGCTAAAATGAAATCTGCTCATACCACGTGATTTCTTGAACTGAAAGAAAAAAAATTTTAAATTTTGAAATTCGTAATGTGGAATTTTTTTTTTTTTTCTCTTAACCACTCCAGATTACGAATTTAAAAAATTCTGCTCAGTCAATGAATACAGACTGTTTCCTTATAAGGAAACGGTTAATATTTTAAGAAATTATGCGTTATTTTCACTTTGGTGTCGTTTGTGGGTTGGAGTCAATTTACAATAAATTTACATAGCAAACTGGGCCCCTCTGCTATTAACTTTTACGAATTATTTATTTATTTATTTTTATATTCGTGATCTGGGGGGCTCAATCTCCATTAAATGAAAAGAAAAAAACATTATTTCTGATTGCAGTGCTTGTTTTACAACTCCACCAGTTTACCAGAAGAAGTTAGAAACCACCGCTGCTGCGAGTGCTTGGATATGTAGAATTGATTGTACAAAATGCCCAATCATGTACATCGGTGGAACATCTAGAGACATAAAAACGACTATAAGGTCATCGCAGATATATGCTGCATAACAACACTTTAAGCGCATTGATCGTTCATCGTAACACATGTTAATCGAAAGAGTCTAACAAGCTTTAGAGAAGAATGTTGAAGCTTTAGACATCTTGAAGGCATTTGACAGGGTTTCGTATACTAGTCTTCTTCACAAGCTTAAAGATTATAATATCTCTGGACGATTTTTTTTAACTGATTCAGTCTTCTGTCTATATTTCTGAGATGTGGTATTGTAACTATTTACATCGTTCGGATTGTTGTCCGTATCTTTATTGCCATATTCACGACGTTTCAGCAGTTGTACTCTCCGGCCTTCTTCAGGTGATATACGTTGAAATTTCGAACCGAACGGGAGTAGATTGTTCAAATTCAACGTGCCGTGCCTTTTTTGGATATCTTAATTTCAATTAATTCTTTTTAATGACTCAACACTCCAAGTTTTCTTCTCTCTGTTGAACTCACAACTCTTTAGGTCAAGTCACTTTTTCGATTACTTCAACTTTATCCACTGGGCCATGTGTCCTTGTGGACATCAGTGAGTGAATTTTGGGGGCTGAAATCTAATATCCCAGTAACACATTTTATACCAGAGCTCATATTACAATTTTTAGTTATTGTTGTTTTTCTCTAGCTCTCTATATTACTGGTTCCTATATTGTATTCATGTTTGTTCTTGATCGGCTTAAGGAATATGTCAATAAAGATGACGAGAACAGTCCGAACGATGTAAATAGTATAAACTGCTTCAGTCTTTCTAGTCAAATCGTGAAGTAAAAGTTGTCTTGAACGGCCACTCTTCTAGATTTTTTTTCACTAATGTAGGAGTAACTCAGGGGTCTATACTTGGATTTACGGTGTTTCCAATTTTCATCAATGACCTTCCTGGTGGCATTAGTGTTCAACTTTCTATCTATGCTGACGACACAGCTATTTACTCTTGTCTTAATAGTAAGTCTTATCAGTCTGATAATGTTATATTGGCAGCTGATCTTAAAAAAGGCCTACATTCTGTTCTTAACTGGTGCAAGGAATGGCTTGTTTATTTTAAAGCCTCCAAAACGAAACTGCTCTCTATCGTCTGAGAGAACCATTTCTGCCTTCCATCAGCATGACTAATGCTCACCTTCAGGGGAGTGACTCATTGCGCCTTCTCGGACTAACATTCTCGGCTGATATGAAGTGGAAAGGTTATATTAGATCAATTGCAAGATCTGCTGCTAGGAAAGTTGGTTCACTGTGTCGTGCCAGACAATTTTTCTCACCCAAACTATCTTACATATTTATAAGTCGTCCAGGCTTTGAATATTGATGCCACCTCTAGTCTGGTGCTCCTGCTGTATATTTAGAGATACTTGATAAAATCCAAAGAAGTATCTGCAATGTCATTGATCCTGATCTGGCATCTCAGCTTCAGTAACTTTTCCACCGTTGTAATGTAGCTTCCCTGTATCTTTTCTATAAATATTTCATTGGTAATTGTTCTGATGAACTTTCCTCTATGGTACCTAGACATTACGGATTTAAACGCACTACTAGATTGGCGGTTAGGTCTCATCATTTTACAGTTGAAATGGCTAGATGTAACCGTAAGTTCTATGCTAACAGTTTCTTTTCTTACACTTCTCATTTGTGGAATTGTCTTGCTTTCTAGTCAAAAAAAAATAAAAATAAAAATAAAAAAAAATTATAGTTTCTTGTCGTCGGATCTGATAAGGTAATTTCATTTATTGCCTCTCTTAACCTCAAAAATCCCAACTCATTTTTCTTACACACATTTGTCTTTCATTTCGACTGAAGACGCCAAGCATAAAACATATTTTGGCGAAATGCGTTGTTACTTAAAATAGCTTTTTTCCTTTGTCCCATTTGGTTTCGGAGACACAAATATCTTACAGTACATACACGCGCGCGCACATACACACACATGACATTGGTTTATCAAGGCTTATAAATTTGAGAACGTTCACGAGTGTTCATCAGGTGGTTGAAAAGTCAGTTAAAGCCTTGATAAACCAGTGACATCCTCCTCTCTGTATATAAACACGTGCAACAAAGTAAATCATACATTGCCTTGATAAAGTCCGTCAGAGGACGAAACGCGTCGGCTAAGTATAGTTTTTCCCTCTTTTTACTCTTTTTTGTCTCTTCCACAGATACACTCTGGGAAATATATATATATATATATATATATGTGTGTGTGTGTGTGTGTGTGTGTGTGTGTGTGTGTGTGTGTGTGTGTGTGTGTGTGAAAAGTGTGTTTATATAAATAAATATATATATATATATATAATTATTTATATATTATATGCACGGTACTTATTAGAAAGCGCTCAATATCACAGATAGAGCTAACATATTTGGTTGGATCCAACCATATATATATATATGTGTGTGTGTGTGTGTGTGTGTGTGTGTGTGTGTGTGGTTGCATGGATAGTAGTTTGTAACACCAGGTTTTACGCATTCACGATCTTCAGAAGAGTATGTTAGCTCTATCACGGATATTGAGCACTTTCCACTAAATACCATGCATTTATATATATATATATATATATATATATATATATATATATATATATATATATATATATATAAGATCACGGCCCTGAATCACCTGACTGGTGGACCATGTTTTATTGGGTGCCCCAGGCAATGCTTTGTCAACATTTGCTTTTTTGTCTATCTACATTTATATACATTATAAATTAAGCTAAGCACAACTGACTATTAAAGGATGAAAAATTTTCTCAGGTTTTGACAACATTCTGGGTTTTTTTTTTCTTTTCGTCCAAATCCGTGAATTTGTTTTGCTTATGCTAAGTCTAGAAAAACACTTTATAAAATTCACTATCATTTTTATTCATAATATTGAATCTGTTAAAGTTATTTAATTATTCAAGTTTTTTAACAAGAAAAATCTCAAGTTCATGCTAAAAATCCCCTGAAAACATTGATTTGATGGAATGATCTATTATGATATGTCTCTAATTTGTATTTAGATACAATGTATTTATTTTTAATTTTTCTAGTTGATTTGTTCATTTATATTGCATATGATCAATTATTGTACACAATTACGTTACAATAAAATTTGTATTTTATGTGAATACTACCATATGAAAATTGAAGTGTGGGGGCTCCGTATAAAACATAATGTTCAAATGTATTCATTATAATTCATGTAAAAGAATTATTGAATCATTTGTTATATGAAATAAATTTTCCAAAAATTATGTTATTATAACAAGTCATATCACATTTTTTAGCTAAAATAATACTCGAAGAAAATATTAAAATAGACACTAGTTAAATATCTTTGAAGATCTTTAATTAAATTATATATTTCCCTTATCATCATAATTCATTTTTTTAATTATAATTATTCACCATTTTATTGGTTATACGCGCATCGTTTTTCTCATAACTTTTTTAATTCATTTTTATTTTCCTATGTCATATTTTTTTATTGAGTACAAATCTCGTTAATTTGTTCCCAGATATATTTTAAAATTTTATTAACTGCTTATTTTTATCACATTTTCTTAGATATTTTTCAGTTATGTTTTGATAATGCTCTCGCAAAAAAGGAACGAAACCTCAACAAGAAAATAAAAAGAGATTGAACATCCAACTGGTTTTCATGTATTCCATTTTACATACTTTGCTCGAATAATTCATATCAATCATGTATCAATAGAAATTTTATAAATAGGAATTGACATTAAGTTAAACGGCCGGTGCCTTGAGTATGCCGAGGAAAAAAAACCCTAAACCCAGAAAAGTTCACACTTGCGTTGAAATTGCATCTAGTGACGTCTTTCATAAAAAGTAAATCATTTACATTAAAAGTAAATAGATATTCATCTTTTGTATTTGCATCGCATCTTCTTTACTCTTCAAATGACTTTCCCGCTTTCTTTCACACATCTGTTCGCAAAGATCTTTATACATGTAAAGATGCCTAGATGAATCAGGCTGTAAACATTATATTTGAAATCAAGACAGAGAGTATGAGGGAAAAGAATAAGAATTAAAAAAAATGGCCGGAAAGACCAGAAAAAACACGAAAAAAAAAAAAGTTAAATACGTGATGCAAATGGAAACTTTAAAAAAAAACGAAAAGAAATAAAATAATCAGAAAATAATTCCATTACGAAAAAAATGAAAAAAAAAAAAATGGTGATAAACCGGAAGTGATGAGGCTAAAGGGAAATCACGTCATCGCATAAAGGGACTTTCCCGGTAAAATTTAATCATATTTTTTTCTCGCCGTTTGAGGAAAAAAAAAACTGCTATGTTTAGCTGTGAAAAGTAAACATTGTGCGTCGAGCTGTGACGTGACTCGTTCAAGGAAGATAAAATAAATGTCTCCAGATTTAGATTGTACATATGTTGGCCCAGAATGGTGCGGGCTTGTCAGCTTGCCATTCGACGTCTGACATTGAAAAACAGAAAAAAAAGAAAGAAATATGCAAGAACTTTCAAAGAACATTAACAACATTGCTCTTTTCCTTCATGATTTTTTTCCTTTTCGACATCTTTTATGTAGTTCTTTCTTTCTTTCTTTCCTTCTTTCTTTCTTTCTTTCTTTCTTTCTTTGCCGCTATGTTTTATATATTTCTTTTTTTTTTTGATATATTATGTAGTTTCTTTTTTTTTCGTTTTTTTTTATGTACTTCGTTCTTTCTTTCTTTTCCGCTATATCCTATGTAGATCTTTCTTTCTTTCTTTCTTTCTTTCTTTCTTTCTTTCTTTCTTTCTTTCTTTCTTTCTTTAGTTATTTCTTTCTTTCTTTCATTCTTTGCCGTTATGTTTTATATAGTTCTTTCTTTCTTTTTCGATATATTATGTAGTTTCTTTTTTTTCGTTTTTTTTATGTACTTCGTTCTTTCTTTCTTTTCCGCTATCCCCTATGTAGATCTTTCTTTCTTTCTTTCTTTTTTTCTTTCTTTCTTTCTTTCTTTGCCGCCATGTTTTATATCGTTCTTTCTTTCTTTTCCGATATATTATGTAGTTTCTTTTTTTTTTCGCTGTTTTATGTACTTCGTTCTTTCTTTCTTTTCCGCTATGGCCTATGTAGTTCTTTCTTTCTTTCCTTCTTTCTTTCTTTCTTTATTTATTTATTTATTTTCCGCTATGTTTTATGTAGTTCTTTCTTTCTTTTTCGACAAATTTTAAATTCTTCGACCTTTTTTCTATATTAATTACTTTACATTTTCTATCTTATTTCTTATTTTTCTAACCGATTTTTGCTTCATCACCTTTTCATACATTTCTTTTATTATTTATTATTCCCCATCATTATCTATCTATCTATCTATCTATCTTTAGTTGTTCTTTCTTCTCGTCATCCTTTCTTTCTGTTATCAGTTATTACACCTTTTTTCATTCTTTTCGTATTGTTTACTTTCTTTCTCCTCAGTTAATCACTTTTTGCTCTTTTCCCCTCAATTTTCTGTTCGTTCATTTCTACGCCTCACTTACAATACGCTAGTCTTGACATTATGAATTTGAATTCTTACTGATGCTTATCCCCCCCCTCTCTCTCTCGCTCACACACTCACTCACTCACTCACAAAATCACTCACTCAATGAAATCTAATCTTTCCAAGGATCTTATTTGGACAACTTGTCCAACACAAATCCAGAAGATGTTTTATATATAGGTAACAGAGTCGTGATTCTACAGAATGATATTGAGAATAATATGGATGGAGCACGTCAGCAACGAAAAAGGAAAATGAAAAACAAAATAACACTTATAGTCAGAATCAGAAAGAAGCAGCTGACATTTCTTGAACACATAACGAGGAAGGAGGGTTTGGAGAATTTGACATTCACAGGGCATATCAAAGGCAAAAGTAACAGTCGAAAGCAGTGGACCACCTACCTGACGAGCTTCTCTGAATGAATGGCAGAACTCGGTCGAGAGGTTTGGCAAAGCGACAAATGTTGCCAAGATCTAAAAACAACAGGAGGTTGTGGAGAGCCATGATTCCCCATGCCCCGAAGGGACACGGCTCACATAACGAACGATGTAAATAGTAATATATTATTATTATTATTATTATTAAATAAAATATTAATAGGAGAATATGCCATTATCTATGACCAACAAAAGGTTTCATGATGAAGTCATTCATCAGAGTTAGATAAGAATATCGTATTATTGAGAAAACATATATTCATAGATGCTTATTAAATACTCAAACTTGCTTTACAAATTTAAATATTTCTTGACTGAAAACTGTTAGTCCCGTGACAATGTTGCAATAACTTACACTGTGAGTATTCGAGTAAGTGGCGCGTTTCAGGACGGAAGTTTAATGAGGCCGTCACAGGTACTGACTTTCTCGAATGTGAGAGCAATACTTTAAAAGTGCATTGCCCTATTTTTGGAACATTTTCAACCCAGAGTATACATATTCTTTTTTATATATATATATATATATATATATATATATATATATATATATATATAAAGACATTTTTATTTTTATGCATTCTTTGTATAGATAAAATATTTAAGTAAATGCTCTGTTTATAATAAACAACATTTACCGAAAATATAAACAACATTCACAGAAAATATTCGAACCTGTATCCTATACGGAACCGCCATTTGGCTTGACGTGCCTTTAACCGATTTGGCCACAGAGGAGCGTTCGGTTATGTATGTGTGTGTGTGTGTGTAATTCAATTTAAAGATTAAATTTTTGACAAAAAACGGCTAAATTAATGAAAAAGCGTCCAGTACAAATTTCAAAAAACGAAAATGTAGAGCAATTTAATATATAAATATTTGGAAAACCAACTTTCTTGCTTCCACGGTTTCTACAAATGACGTATTTCTAGGCAGTAAAATTTCACTTCTTTTCTGATGATAACCTGATTGTGAGAGACCGCGAAAGCAGGAAGGTTGATTTTCTAAATATGTCTTAAATATACAGGGTGAAGCAGAAAGGTTTCCTCGATTTCAAAGGTTAATAAAAAAGAAAAATATGAAGATAAAAGAAAAAAATTCTATGAAGTATATTAAATGCCATTTATCTTCTGTTTCAGGTAATACCCCACCATTGCCTGGAGAGGAAAGTTTTTTTCTCTTATAATCATGTGTTTGTTTTTTATTAACCTTTGAAATCGGGATAACCTTTCTGCCCCTCCTTATATATATATATATATATATATATATATATATATATGAGAGGTCTGTCTAAAAAGTAACGGAACTGGTGTCACAAACAATTTATTTCAATTTCAAACAAAGTAAACCCCTCGAGTCTAATGCACTTTTCCATCCTTCTCTGACCCGCTTCTATGCACTGCTGGAAGGATTCTTCTTGGATGCTCCTCAACTCCATCGTTACGGCCCTCTTGATGGCACCCACGCCTTCAAAACGGTTTCTTTTGATAATCCCATTGAGCTTGGTGAAACGGGGAAAAAATCACACGGAGCAGAATCAAGTTAATAGGGAAGTTGTTCATAGTGTGGCATGTGGTCCACAAACAGCCCTCGCCACGTTCTGAATTTAGAGTTGTCTTTCTTCTAGTCTGGTTGGCAAACAAGGCTAAAGCGCCAAGTCTGTCCTACTATTCAATCCATATCTGGAGGGGGAATAGATAGATTCATACTTTTCCAAAGAGTGCATAAATGAATATAACGAATACGACTGGAATTCGAACCCATCTCTCCGATTTCTTACTTTGAGATGCTATCCATACACCTCCCATCAACATGGGTATCAAGGTATATTGTATTAGGTGATTATGGCTTTTTTCTCCTCCAGACAGAATTTACAGTTTTGGGATTTATTGTTGTAAGTTGATGATATTTTTCTCAGTCTATAACAATAAATCCGAAAACTGTAAATTCTGTCTGGAGGAGAAAATAGCCATAATCACTCTTCCAGACCAACAAAAATTACTAAATAAATGATCAGAACTTTTTTTTACTATGTTAGTTAAAAATCAAAAACTAAAAATGAATTTACCCATAGCTAGGGGGAGAAGAAGAGGATTCATACCTTTCCCAAGGGTATTAGCGCGTAAGTGAATGTAAGGGATCTGGCTGGAATTCAAACTCGGCTCTCTGATTTCTAAATCCGAGCCGCTATCCATTACGTTAGGTAAAAATCGAAAACTAAAACCGAATACCTTGTAAATTACCGCCATGTGCGATATATAACACAGATAATGTAACATACTTTAAAAAACACCAATACTTTAAAATAAACAAATAATCAAAAAAATTTTAAATAAAAATAATCTAAATCAATAAACAAATTAAGTAAATAATAAACATATTAACAAACTATGAATGCGCATATAAACGCAAGTAAACGTAATAATAATAATAATAATAATAATAATAATAATAATAATAATCAACAAACAATTAAATAATCAATAATAAATAATAAGTGAAAGGTTAACAAACAACACCATAAAATTGCTAAAAATTACTGCATTCGCCTCTCCAATTATTTGTACTCAATAGAATAATTGGAAATATAACCGTTACCGCCTGTTCAATGACAGTTAAAATAATACAATCGACCTTTCTACCCACAGTATACGTAAATAGTCGAGTCAAAACACATGGCCTGAAGATTGTGTCCAAGCATGAAACAGACTATCGCCGCTCAGTGTTGACCTCAGTGTTCACTTTTATATTTATATACGAACTATCTCTGATATTGATCACTTTTATCCATAAATATAGCATGCCTTAAAACTATATTTTCATATATATATATATATATATATATATATATATATATATATATATATATATATATATATATATCTTTCGTTAAATATGACGGACAAGGAAATGTTTTTTTTTTTTTATTTAACTTTTCCACCGTTCTTACATTTTTTCGTTTGGAAAAAAAAAACTAAATAAAAGATTAATAAAATTTTCCTTGTCTGCCATATTTACGAAAGATGTTTAAAAGAAATGTTGATATCCAAATATAGATTAATATATATGTCCTCCAACAGGAATCGAACCTGTATCCTATACGGGACCGGCGTATAGCCTGACGTGCTTTTACCGATTGAGCCACAGAGGAGCGTTCCGGTTATCAAAGTCGATTTTACTGTTTTTAAACCCCAATTCTAAAGTTTTTTTTCTCATACATTCATATCTGCTCGATGCGTATCCAAATGTTAACAAAAGACGTCACACATTATGAAATGGACAAAATCCGACAATTATTTCTCGGACATTCAGGCCGGTAAATGTTGTTAATACTGTTTATTATAAACAGAGCATTTACTTAAATATTTGTATCTATAAAAAGAACGTATAAACTTAAAAACTGTCTTTATATATATATATATATATATATATATATATATATATATATTGAAATCGAGATTAACCAATGTCTAGTTAATTCAAGACTCTTGAAGTGTCCCACATTAGAACAGAATATAAAATAATTTTCATATAATGAAGCACAATTGTTTTTTTGTTTTTTTTAATGTATTTGCCATTCTATTTTCTCTTGCTTAGTGTTTGTGTATTTTGGATTTGTTTCCGTGTGCTTATGTGATGCTAATACGTGCTCTATCGGCGAGTTACCATATCTTGATTAGAACAATTGCTTTCGTCCCGCCATTTCGTAAAAGCTTTTTGTCTATCCAACCGAGTGGAATAATCATTTGCCTGCTGATTACGTGGCGTTTTAAACTTTACTTTTTCATTTTTGTTTGTTGTTTAGTTTCATTTCGTTCAGGTGCTAATCAATTGATGGTTTATCTCTTCAAGCTTTTTTTGCTACTAACGCATCAATCTCAGTTGGTGTCGAGCGAGTCGTGGATGGGGGAGGAGGAGGCTGATATCGTTGAAAATTGTGATGTGGGCGGTTTAATATCGGTCGTAGCAGACATGGATCGGCGTTTAAAATAATGGCAAAGTCGAGATCAGATCTTGAGAGTTAGGGTAGCAGCTTGTCAAGTTTTGATGGTGGGTGGTGATGTGAAAATTGTAAGAATAAGTAGATGTGTGTGGTGGTCAATAGGGAAGATGGATTTAAAAAAAAATCTAAATAGATTGAGAAATCTAGGAAATTGTGTTATTTTTGTTTACGAACTAAGAAATCAATAGAGGTACGATACTTTTGCCATTGATTGATTTCGCTTTTGTTCGGAAACTTTCAAGAAGAAAAATATGAAGAAAGAGAGAGTGGGGGGGAAAGAGGCGATTAAAAATGAGGGGAAAGAATGAAAGGAAAGTTTAAATAAATTATCGAGATGAAGAATAAATAATACCAAAAGAGAGAATATGTAAAAAGATGAAAAACTGATATTCAAAATAAGAAAAAATTATATAATAGACGTCAAAAAGAAAAGAAAGGAAATAAGGAATCTGAGAGAAAGAAGCGAAGAAAAAGAAAGAAACAAAGAAAGAATATTAAGAAAATCTAAAAAAAGAAATGAAGAAAAAGAAAAGAAAGAAAAATAAAAGAAAAAGAAGAGATTAAAAAG